AATCCACCGCTGTAACAGCGTCAAGTGATAGAGCAATATCTCTGCTCACAAAGGAACTTTCCTCAATAATACATTTTGCGGGAGTTCAATGAAGGCAAAGATCGCTTTTTGTTAACCAAATAAAGAGGAATTTAACTGCTCCGAGACACCATCCGGAGTGAGGAGGTTTACATGGGAATATACGAACAGGAGGAGGCCGTTCAGCTCTTCGAGCCTGATCCGCCATTTAATTAGATCATGACTGATCTGTACCTCAACTAATCCTTTCAATTTCCCGCTTTCTCCCCATATCCCTTGATACCCTGACCTACCAAAAATCTATCAACCTCACTCTTGAAGGCGTGGATGGATTCAGCATCCACAGCCTTTTGGGGGAGAGAATTCCAGATGTCTACCACCCTTTGAGTGAAAAAATGCTTCCTGATTTCACTCTTAATTGGTCTGGTTCTAAGTTTTAAATTATGCCCCTTTGTTTTGGATTCCCCCACCAGAGGAAATGGCTTCTCTGTATCTATCCTATCAAATCCTTTTACCATCTTAAACACCTCAATCAAATCACCCCTCAACCTTCTAAACTCAAGGGAACACAATCCAAGTTTACGCAGTCTTTCCTCGTAACGTAACCCTTTAAGGCCCAGTAACATTCTGGTGAACCTGCACTACACCCCCTCCAGGGCCAATATATCTTTCCTGAACAAAACACAAAATACTGCAGATGCTGGAATCCAAAACAAAAACAGAGAGAGCTGGGAAAACTCAGCAGATCAGGCAGCATCTATGGAGAAAGGAAAGTGAGTCAACGTTTCGGGTCCATGACCCTTCATCAGAACTGGTTTGTTTCCTATATCTTTCTTGAGGTGTGGTGCCCAAAGCTGAACGCAGTCTCCAGATGGGGTCTGACCAACGCTCTATACAGCTGGATCATCACTTCTCCCCTTTGTATTACAGGTCCCTTGAGATAAAGGCCAACATTTGATTCACCTTTTTGATTACTTTTTGCCCCTTGAAAGTAGTTTTTAGTGATTTGTGGATATGGACACCAACATCCTTTGCTCCTCCACAGTTCTTTGTCTCTCCCCATTAAGAAAATATTCTGCTTTTATCTTTTTTCGGTCCATAGTGAATGATCTCACACTTCCCTACATTGAACTCCATAAATTATAGAAACAAGTTGTTGTTTCCTGTATCTTTCCTGAGGTCTGGTGCCCAAAGCTGAACGCAGTCTCCAGATGGGATCTGACCAATGCTCAGAGCCCATCTTATGTTTATGTTTAACCAGCTAGAACTTCAAGCAATTCAGCGAGATCACTAGTGGCTTTGATTGAATATGTTATATAACATGCCAACGTTATTACAGTCAGCCCCTTTGTGAAAAGATGGTTTGGTATAGCCGGCTGCATGGATTCAGTGCCAAGTATGTGCCAGAGTGAATGGGTCATGAATGCTGGGGCAGTGCACACTTGGCATTGTATACCCTTCCCCCTTCTTCCCTTTGCCATTACAGTCTCAGTGGGCAACTGGCTGTAGCTGTGTGAACAAGTGCTTGGTCTCACATCAGATGGTGACAATCTTATTTGCCCAGATAATGTCCAGGCAATGGCTTGCACTAATACAGCAACTTGATGCAATGTGATGCCCCCACTGCCCAGTCCTAAGTAGTATATATATATGTATAAATAATTTATAGGCAAATCCGGCACCATTGTAATGAAAGCAAAAACGGGAGGGGAAGGCTGACCGAAAACACGGTCAAAGAGGTAGGTCTTGAGGCAGACTTTGAAAGAGGTTAGGGAGAGAGCGAGTCAGAGGGACTCTGGGATAGACTGAAAGCCCAAGAGAAAGAAATACATGAGGGATAAAGCTATAGAAGGGTATAGAAGAGAGGAATAAAAAAATGGGTGCTTGTATAGAGTATAAACAATTTTATGGACTGTTTGAGCTAAATGGCCTGCTTCTCTGCCATATCACTCAATTTAAGTAAATAACCCACCAATTTGTAATTAAATTTTGCCCACACATGTACATCACTACAGTTGACAGCAATTACCAATGAGCCAGCTACTTTGAGATGTTTCGCTGCTAACTTGAATGCAAAGATTATTGCTTCTTTTTATTCCAAACGTTTATCATTCTGAGGAAAGAAAGTCTTTTTGATATTTCTTCAACATTTACTTTGCATTGATCTCCATTTATATCCCCTATTTTCTCTTTAGTTTAAAGCAGTAGCCTGTGTTAATCTTATCTAAGTCATTAAATACTGTATTTTGTGTACTTAAGTTTCAGGTATTTGGGTGGCTTGTGTATATATAGTACATATGAAATTCCAAGTCTGATGTCAACCAATGTAAGATAGTCTATCAAGTGCTTTTAGATGACAGCATTATGAGGCGCTATTTCAAATGCAAGTATTATTATTGTTGTTATATTAATTTCCTCCTTTGGTTGATCTTCCTTAAACCAAAGGAAGTTTAGTTGAAGCTCTTACATAATCGCCCCCCTCTTCATGTTCTGAGGTTGAATAAATGCTTTCTTTCTAGAGTAAAACAAATTGTCACTGTCTGTATGTAGCCAAGCTTTCAAATGTGCAGCCGTTCCTTTGTGCCTCCTTCCCATTAAAAGAGTTCCTTCTAACAACTCTTAACAAAGCATCTGTCATTGTTTCTTCAAAATGGAACAATTTTCAAAAAAATTGGGTTTGATTCCCAGCAGGGTGACACCTTGGGTAAGTTTCCTTACTCCACACGCCTGATAATAATCCCTCAAGAAAAAAAACAATAATAAATTGGTCACTTGAATCCATGACTGTTTGTGGGACACTGCTGTGTGCAATTGGCTGCCGCGTTTCACCCACAAATATACAATCAATTCACTTTACAGTATATTCTGTGAAGCGCTTTGAGACGTCTAGAAGATGTGAAAAGTGCTATATCAAATGCAAGGATTATTATTGAACAAATTATGAATTCATTTCTGGCGTGTTTGGATGAGTTGCCTTGAAATCCTTGCTGTGAAAGGTTATTGGTTACAGTAAGCCGCACAGACACACACCTACCATAGGAAACAGGATACAAGTCTAGGGTTTATCAGAGGAAATGCTATATGCAAATCTCTTGATGCTTTTAGGATAGCTTAAAGTTGCTGATTAGGGGGCACTTTTATATTTAGAATGCAAAAATGGAAAACAACGACAAGATTATATTTGTATAGCGCCTTTTAAGTCGGGAGGACATCCTAAGGTGCTGGACAGAGTACAGCATTTCAGACCCGAGCTGGGGTCATGGGAGGAGAAGGGAGGGGAGGGGAAGGGGGGTGACCGATGCCATGGTCAAAAAGGAGGGTCTTGAGGCGGGACTTGAAGGAGGCTAAGGAGAGGGCAAGGCGGAGTGACTGGGGGATGGAATTCCAGAGGTTGGGGGAAGAGTGGCTGAAGGCTCTCCCGCCAATGGTGGGGCAGGTGGGTCGGGGGACGTGGAGCAGGCCAGAGCCGGCTGAACGGAGGGGAGCAGACGGGTTGGTATGTGGTTAGGAGGTCGCAGAGGTACGTTCGGGCGAGGCCATGGGGGGCTTTGTATGTGAGGACCAGGATTTTGAACTGGATCCTCTGAAGGATAGGGAGCCAATGGAGTCGGGCGAGAATGGGGGAGATGGGGGTCATGGAGTTTGGTGCGGGAGAGGACACGGGCTGCAGAGTTCTGGATTATCTGCAGCCTGTGGAGGGAGGAGTTGGGAAGGCCGACAAGCAGGGAGTTTGCATAGTCGAGCCTGGAGCTGATGAAGGCATGAACAAGAGTTTCAGTGGCCTGAGGGGTGAGGTAGTGGTGGAGTCGGGTGATGTTAACAGAGGTGAGGGAAGGCAGAGAGGGTCATGGCTTGGATATGGGGAAGAAAAGACAGTTGAGGTTTGAATAAGACACCGAGGTTCCTGACTGGCTTCGTGAGTTGTAGTGTGCAACCATGGAGGTTGATGCTGCCAGAGCCTGAGGTGCTGAGGCGCTGGCGTGAGCCCATCAGGAGGGCCTCAGTCTTGTTCACATTCAACTGTAGGAAATTTACCCTCATCCAGGACTTGATGTCTGACAGGAAGTCTGTCAGGACAGCAGTGGTCCTGGAGTTGAGGCTGGAGGCAGAGAGATAGAGTTGGGTGTCATCTGCATACATATGGAAGTTGACCCCATGTCTGTGGATGATGTCACCAAGGAGGAGCATGTAGATATTGAAGAGGAGAGGGCCAAGGACAGAGCCCTGGGGGACACCAGACGTGACAGTGCGGGGGCTGGAGGAGAAACCATTAGAGGCAACAAAGTGGAGATGGTGAGAGAGATAGGAATTGAACCAGGCAAGGACAGGTCTGCGAAGATTAAGTAAGGAGGAGAGGCGGTGTATGAGGATGGAGTGGTCGACAGTGTCGAAGGCGGCAGAGAGGTCGAGGAGGACAAGGAGGCAGAGGGAACCCTGATCACAGATGTTCAGAATGTCATCAGTAACTTTGACCAGAGCTGTTTCCGTGCTATGGGCAGCGCGGAAACCGGTTTGGAGGGGTTCAAAGACAACCTTAAAAAGAATGGACTTGATTGGTTTAGCGATATTGTGCCATTTGGCATTCTGATTAACAAATCTATTACTGCTGCACTAAATAATGTTTGTGGTACTCATTTCAAATGGCACTCTTTTAAAAAAAACTAAGCCCCCTCTAGCCTTAACCACCCGCCACCTATGGCAGCAATTTGTTTTTCTTCTCAAGCACCTTCAGTGGAGTCAGGACATTTGAGGAGGGGATGTTGATGTGAGGCTGTATTTGACCTATAACCTAAAGCTGGGAAGTGATACCCTGTACATTCAAGCAAGCAGACCCCACATTGCAGCTCAGTCAGCCACACCTGAACTTAGATTTTTTTATATTTTCCCTTTGGGTTATGTTCCTGAGGAATGGAAACCTTATTAACACACGTATGAGAATGTTTATTAATATACTTCAAAAGGGAGCATGCTGAGTGGAAGAAATGACTTTCAGCAAACCACAGGAAGTCCTCGCTTCAGGTATAACCTTCTACAGTGAACTTAGTGTGTCTCAGGGGGAGGAACCAGTGTCTCAGGAGAGCGGGGCAGTGTCTCGGGGCGAGGGGCCAGTGTCTCCGGGGCATGAGCCAGCATCTGAGGGCGAGGAGCAGTGTCTCAAGCTCCTGAGGCAAGTCACAACACCAGCGACACTATTTGCAGGACAGAAGCAGAAAATGTTCCGAGCAAGAACATTTATCAACATTTTCAAGTGCACAAAGAGGATTTGCTTTAAAGTATGGAAACTTTTGGCACAAGTAGCTGTTGAAGCTGAGACCTTAGCAACGTTCAAAAGGAATTTGGATACACAGTTGAAGAGGAATATATATAGTTGAGAAAAGAGGAGGGAATTGGGTTCAGAGTGTTGGTGTTAGCTCCAGTTGGAAAGCTACTCATTGAAGGTGGACTCAAAGAGCTGAATTGCCCTCCATTTGTGCTGTGATTTCTGTAGCGCTGTAACATGCAGGTGCCTAACTCCTGTAATGTGATATGGCTTTGACTTGTGGAGCAAAGTGTTTCAACAGGGTTATTCTGTTTATGCAGAGGAAAATGGAGTTTGTACTGTAACGTATTTAGGAAATAACATTATGGAATGTAGTATTCCCATAATGTTATTGTGGGTCTATTCAAAAAGAGAAGGGAGTTTCTCCTGATGTCCTGGCCAACAATCTCCCAAATAAAATTGATCACTCACTCCCTGTCTGTTTGTGGGATATTGCTGTGCGCAAGCAGTTAATCCACTTTACAGTATGTCCTGTGAAGCGCTTTGAGACGTCTTGACAATATGATAAGGCACTTTATTAAATACAAGGATTATTATTATTAATTCTTTCGTAGACATGCAAAGGGAGGTTTGCACTCTGCAGTGCTGAGTAACCCTGTCTATCAGAAGACCACAGCAGCAAAGTGTTTCATCAGGTTAATCTGTTTATGCAGAGGAAAGTGGGTGGTCTCGCAGAACTGATGTCACAACTCTCTGGGAAATTCTCTCCACTACCCCCACGCTTGAGGGGAATCAGTCACATAAATATTCAAACACACAAAGGAAAAATAATTGTAGTCAAAAGAGTTTTCATTCTGTATCGTTGTAAGAGATACAAGAAGGCATCAGAGGCACAGTTAGCAGGTCAGAGCTACACATTATGTTTATAACCAGGAAGTGACATAGTTGATAACACACAGATCACTGGCAAGTATCTCACTGCAGAGCTGTAACCACAAGTAAACTACAGTGAAGCAAAAGAGGCAAAGCCTCCACTTGGCCTAATTGTAGACCAATAGCAGAATTTCACATTGATACTTCCTCTTTCAGTTTGAAGGGGAAGGGGTTTGCAAACCAATGTTTGTTTGGATTATGAAGCAAAAGTCGAAGGGCCCTCGGTCATTCGCATTGCCAGGACCTTGCACCCAACTGATGCAAAGGTGCATTGCAGCAAGGTTGATTTTGGAATGTTTTCATGGGTGACAGATGTCCCCCTGGAAACATATCCAAGAGACCACACTCCAAGCATCTCCTACCTCAAACTGTTCCTGTGGTCAGGCCAACCCACACCATACCTCACTGAGACTCAGACCTCCTTCTACATAAATCAGCTTTACCTTTCTCTATCGCAAGAAAAAAATAAACAGAACCTATCTTATACAAGATAAGAAGATTAGTTGGGAATGAAGAAGGCCCTTTAGCCCATATGATCTCATCCTTCCAGAACACCTCCCCCAAACATCCTCCCATCATAGATTCAAGCTGTTTCTTAAATACGTCAGACCAATATGTTTGTTCCTACCACCCTTCATGACAACATGTTTGAATTACCGTTTAAAGAACCTGTTTTTTTAACCCGACAACCTGCTTCAATTACCCTGTTATTAATTACCCCGTTTAAAGAAATACTTTCTGGTGTCTGACTCTGAACTTGCCCTTCACAATCCTGAAACAGTGACCTCTTGTTGCCTTGGCTTAACTTCAGAGTTTACTTTCTCTAATCATTTTCAGATCTTATGTACTTTTATAAGAGAACCACTGAGATATTGCATACATACGTTAAATTAACTCACAGGATTGCATTGCCCACAAATGTCACCAACAAAGTGAAGAACTGATCCAATGATAAGAGTAGGCAACATAGCTCCTTGCAGTGCAAAGAGGGGGAAAACCCTAATAGTAAGAGTAAGAGGAAAACCTTCAGTGTACAGAGTCCAGTGCATTCAATTTCCATATATATTTTTGGATCAGGATTTGTGCTGAATGTGTGCAAGTTGAAATCCAGGCCATGAGCTGCAAGATAAGTTAACAGTTGGACACTATTTGTCCCATTTGAGCTCACCACCCTCATATAACACCGACTCCCACGCAAACAAAACTTATGTTAATGAAGTATCTGCAGTTTTCAAGAAGCTGAAGTGAGATCAGCCCAATACTCTGTGGTAAATTACAAGCACATTTTTCTACAAATTCCAGAGTCATATAGAATTCTTCCTTTTCTCCTCTGATTGTATCTTCTCCAACCCTCTCAACCCCACTTTTAATTAATATGGATTTTTTTGCTAAGATTTTATGTTAGAAAATCATGAATAATAATAATAATCCTTACATTTGATATTGTGTAGTACCTTTCACATCAGGAGGATATTCCAAAGCACTTCACAGGATTTACTGTGGAGTGGAATGATTGCATCCAAGTACCCTATGTCAAATTTCTCTTCACTAGGATCATAGCAAGGATGAGAGGATGTAGTTACTAATAATAATCCTTGCATTTAATATAGCAAATTATCATGTCATTGAGATGTCTCAAAGCACTTCACAGAATATACTGTAAAGTGGATTGACCTGGTATTTTGTGGGCAAAAACAATTTTATATAGTTCACATGGGTAGCGTTTCGGAGCGCTAAATAGCGTAGCTTCTCTGTTCTTGAATGGTCACAAATGGTTCCTGAAGCTCAGTCCATTTGAAAGAGAAAGGCAAAAACGTTTGAGAAAAATACTATCAAAGGGTTTTTGGAAAGAGCAGAGGAATCGGATTAGAGGTGATGGTCCCAGTGGGGTAGCTGGCACCAGCACAGACACAATTGGCTGAATGGCCTCCTTCTGTGCTGTAAACCTTTGATGAATGGATAATTTAAGTGTGAGTGGTGCATTGCTATGTGTTTGGAGCAATAGTATAGTCATCTACAAATAATGGAAGGGGCTTTTGTGGAAGTAATATATATCAGATTCTGTCACTCTTGGCATGATGTCTATAACTATGTGCAATATGCTGGAGATGTCATTTGTTCACATCCTAACCAGAGCACCTTAGCTGAAATCTATTGTATTTCTATGCATCTGTATTTTTGTTACTCAAGGTTTTTTAGTGCGTAATTCCATTTCTGGTCTCTTACAGGGAGAATGGATTCTCAGCTGTATCTTTGGACCAATGTCCTTTTGTATTGGGACTGGCCAATCAGAATTCGGAGCTGATCATGGAGGACTGCGTGCAGCTGACAGTGGGAATGAAGACTAAGGAGAGACACCTCTTCCTCTTCAGTGACATGTTGGTCATTGCAAAGTCAAAGTGCGTACTTTTCCTTTCAACTTTCCAGAACGTTCTGCTGTCCTGCCTCGCTTTTGTCGCCTTGTGTGCAGGATTGACAAATGAGCTCTGATAATGAGAATCCTGTGGGCACCAATTGTGGTTCCTGAATTGTGGGTGAATTTGAATGAGGTGGAAATATACGAACTGAATAAGTATTTTGGTTGAGAACCATGGTCGAGGTTATAGGAATCGACTAGAGTAGATAATAATAATAATCCTTGAATTTCCATTTGATGCAGCACTTTGTATCACGTTATTAAGATACAATACAACATTACATTTGTACAGCGCCTTTCATGTTGGGAGGACATCGGTCGAAGAGGAGGGTCTTGAAGGAGACAAGAGAGGGAGAGAGGCAAAGGGAATGTGGGATGGAGTTCAAAGGGATGGGTGCAGCGAGGCTGAAGGCCCGACCACCAATGGTGGAGCAGGCCAGTTGAGCGGAGGGAAAGGACAGGTTGTTATGGTGTTAGCAGGTCACAGAGGTAGGAATGTGGAGGATTGTGGAGATGCCTCAAAGTACTTCACAGAATATACTGTAAAAAGAATTGGCTGTATAATTTGTGGGTGAAATGAATATCCATCTCCTGTGATTGGAGCAAGCAAGGCTTCAATAGGTAGATGAGGGAGATCAATAAAAATTGGAGCTCTTGCTTGGCTGCCTTAGAGAATCAGGGAGAGTCCAATGCAGAGCTTTCCTCCAGAGAGCGATGAGGCAGAGGTTTGCATAGTAAGTGGAAGTAATGGGCTGATGGACGAAGTCTAATTCATGTCTAATTCCAAACCTAGGACTGAGCATCGTTGCTCATTCTCATTCTCAAATTCAATCTCCACCTATTCAATTTACCTCTGATTGATTTTGCTTTGGTTATTCAATCCACAACTGTTTGTGGGACACTGCTGTACGCAATTGGATGCTGGGTTTTGCCCACAAAATACTCAGTCAATTCACTTTATAATATATTCCATGAAGCACTTTGAGACGGCTCAATGACATAAGGCGCTTTATCAAATGAAGGATTATTATTATTTTGCTGTCAAAAATCCATTCAATTTACTCTTGAAGCTGTACATAGAATTCACTTTCTTATGAATGTGAACACCATATGTGCTCAGATATCACTGTGAGTCAGATCTCTATTTGGTAGCAACAAATTAAAGCACTGCAATAATCTGCTGACCGCCGCTGAATGTTTGGAAAGATTTATGTCATATTTTCACATCCATTTCAATCTGTGTTTCTATCATCATTATCAGCCTTGAATGTAAAGCTCCCGAACAGTCAGTTAAGATTTTTCAGACGACTGAGTAATTTCACCAAACTCAGTTATTGTAGAAGAGAACGCTTTGAGATGACTGTTAATTGCTTCACAGTTGGAGGGAGTTTTTAGGATGACAAAACAGAACTTTTCCTGTTTTTACCTTAACATGGGTGGGGGGTGACACTGAAGGAGATCTGAATGCATGGTTTCAGTTCAGTGCAGTGCCAACTGGCAGAGAAATCTTTCTAACCTCAATGCAAGGAATTGAACAGATTAATATAGAATGAGTCAATGTAGTGTATTGGTTAGAGCACTCGCCTTGCAAACAAGAGGACCTGGGTTCGACTCCGGGCAGGACGAAACCTTAGGCAAGTCTTTTTACTCCATACTCCCCTAGCAGTAAGTAGGAACCTAGTTGTTAGTCGATTGGCGGGTTGCTTTCCAGGGATAGTAATCTCTCCAAAAAATAAAATAATAATAATAATTTGGCCACTCAATCCAAGATTGTTTGTGGGACAATGCTGTGAACTGGCTGCCGTGTTTTGCCCACAAAATATATTCTGTGAAACGCTTTGAAACATCTCAACAATGTGATACAGAGCTATATCAAATGCAAGGATTGTTATTTTTATAATGTACCTTAGATATTTCTGTTTAAACAGCGATTACTAAAAATGAAAATGTTCCTGTTACTTGTTTGAAATTGGATTTCCTAGGAACAAGAAAATTGCTATATTTAGCCATTGTAAAAGGTAAATGTATGAATAATCCTGACACTGCTAGAGTGCTTTATCATATTGTCAAAGTGCTTCACATGACTTTTATTATGAAACCCTGTAAGTGTAAGTAAACATGGCAGTGAATGTGCATGCAGTAATAATGACCTACAAACAACCACAAGGCGAGAGTTTTACAAGGTGGGACATGTTGACACCGAGATAGACTATAGTATGGAGACTTTTACTTCAACAATGTTTTATTTTTTATGTGTCAGGTTTCAAAGAAAGCATTGAATGTGAGGACGTTTTGGTGTTCACTCGTTTTTTTGGATCTTTATCCGGATGACTAATTTATCTGTTTTATTAAATTATAGTGCCTTGTTCGAGGAACTTACAATAAGAAAACTGCCAGGTATGAAATAAAATAATATTAATTCTTGCATTTGATATAGCGCCTTTTACTTCAGGAAGAAGTCTTCAAGCCTTTCACAGGGTTTATTATAAAGTGCAGTGACTGTGTATTTTGTAGGCGAGCGAGAGAGCCAATTTGCCCGCAGGCTTAAAATGAATAACCAATTTTATCTAGGGGATTGTTGGCCAGGACACTGGGAGAAATTCCCTTCTCTTTTAATAATAATAATAATCCTTGCATTTGATATAGCGCTTTTCACGTCGGGAGGACATCCCAAAGCGCTTCACAGAACACATTGTAAAGTGAATTGACTGTATATTTGTGGGCGAACGCGGCAGCCAATTGCGCACAGCAATGTCTCACAAACAGTCGTAGATTGAAAATGACCAACTTATTATTGTTTTGGGTTTTGGAGGGATTATCATTAGGCGTGTGGAGTAAGGAAACTTGCCCAAGGTTTCGCCCTGCCTGGAATTGAACTCAGGTCTCTCGCTTGCAAAGCGAGTGCTCTAACCACTGAGCTACAGGACTCAAAAAGTGTCATGGGATGTTTGACATCCAGCTGAACAGGCAGACAGATTCTTGATTTAATGTTCATCTGAAAAAGAGCAACGCACCCGCAGCACTGCATTGAAGTGACAGCGTGAACTGTGAGTCTCAAATTCCCAACGTGGAACCCACAATCTTCTGCTTCAGAGATGAGATTGCTACCACTGAGCCAGGCTGACACTGTCATAAAAGCAATGGTTCACTATTCCTTGGGAACATGTGCTGGTGTGAAAAGATTGCTCAACACTGCCATATTTATTCAGCTCCATTTTTGGTCTGTAGCCAATAATAGCATAATCCGGTGACCTGAGCAACAATCCCCCATATAAAATTGATCATTCATTTCATAGCTGTTTGTGGAACATTGCTCTGTGCAAATTGGTTGCTGCATTCACCTACATAATACTCAGTCACACCACTTTACAGTACATCCTGTGAAGTGGTATGAGATGTCTTGACAACATGATAAGGCAAATGCAAGGATGATTATTATTATTATTGCAATAAATCCTGTGAAAGGCATTAAAACATTCTCCTGATGTGAAAGAGGGGTTATCAAATGCAAGGATTATTATTTATGCTCCAACCAGGGACTTCTCAGTGTCAGAGATCCAGCCGGGAAAGGCAGAGACCATTAGTTAAGATCTTGATCACCAGAAACAGAAACACCTCCAATCGAACAGAGGCAATAAATATACTCACCAAGAAAACTGCAGTTATGGTCTTACTGAAAACAGAATTTAAAATATTCTCAGTACACCTACAATATTGAATTACATACAATTACATAGAATGATACAGAATAGGAAAAAGGCATTTGGCTCAAAGAGCCAGTGAATATACTTCATGTTGTATTATCATTATTGTAGCAAAGGTTACATGAATTGTTGCAACAACTCGCCTCCTCCTGCCCACTACAGCAACAACGGTGTCAAAAGTACTGGTAATGTCGTAGGGATGGTCGTGACTCACTCAGCCGCCCTCCCAGCTGGGGGAGACTGGGGGACATTTAAAGCACTGAAAATACCACGCAAAATAATTTGCATTGTGACGCAGCTGCTCCCACAGATAACCACATCAAACCTGTCAAGCTAACAATGTACAAGGCAGTCTGTCCATCAGATCAATGATAACTTCTCTCTCTCACGTTCTCACACACACGCACACACCTGCCCTTACAAATGACGTCAACTTAGCAGGAAAAAAATCTCAAAGGGTCTTTGTGGTGTAACACTTTTATAATGTCACAAAAAAAATCCAACTACTTGTTTTTTTTATTGACAAAAGGTAACATTTACAGATGTAACGGGCAAGCAGACCGGGCTAATTCTTTCAGATAAGGCGAGTTGCTGGAAGAGAAGTCAAACTTGCCCTGAAACTCATAGCAATGAGTAAGAATTACTATCACTACAGGAATGAAAATAGCCAGAGTTAGAAATAAACAGCATAATTACGGTAAATCCATCACATATCCATTTTCTGCTGACAGAGTACTGTCTGAACAATAAAATATACCCGTTTGAAATCTTATTCCTAAATGAGTCAAATAATCTGCCTGATGTATATAATTATCCTTAACTTGGGCCAAGAAAAAGAGATACCTGTAAAGATACTGTAATAAAACAGCCCTCTTTAAACCCCATTGTTACTGCCCTATTGTCAGTCCTGTATCCTCTCACTGGCAACCGAAGCATTGGGAAATTGGGAAGTTTAGTTTCTTTACGCTGATTTAAGTTTTAGATTATTGATATTTTCAGTCTCCCACCATAGCGAGGGAAGTCAGAGAAATATTAAGAGGAAGCAACAGCTTGATGCTGGAATGGGAAAAATGGCAGAATAATAAGATCAAACAGACTAAATGACCTTTTTCATCTGAATATTTCTTGCAAACTTATCAGATCTCCAAGACCGTCAGATTATGTGGAACTTGTATTTTGAATTTGCTCGTCACTTATGACAGGCGATGGATGTCTCCTTATGTCTGGCTGCCAATGCATTTTCACCTCACTTTCCAAAGATGGTAAAGTTAAATAGAAACAAAAATGCAGACATTTTACCGGTTACTATATTGGCACAATCGTGTCAAGAAAACTCCCTAAAGTGGCTGAAATAAAACGTTTATACTAACATCCACCTCAATCCAGGACATTTCAGCCATCCAAAGTGTCAATCTTCAAATTTAAGATTGTTCAGAATCTAGAAAAGCTGTGGGAAAATGGTTTCTAGATGAAGACGTTTCTCAATTCTGCCAGACCTGAAATGTTGAGCCTTGACGAGCTTTTCAGCCGGGTAGGAACACAGGTAAATAGATGGATCTTCACTAAGGTGATCCTGGTTTCAGGTGGGTAGATAGGTCAGTAAAAACAGAAAAGTCTCTATATATTTTTTAGAAAATTAGAAAATTAAGAAATAAGAAATAAATAATATTGCTGGGAAATAAAAAGAGATTTAGATCAAGGGAGTTTACAGGAGCGATATCTGATAAAACTCAGTGGTGTATAAGTCAGATCTCGGAGCTGGGATGACAGATGGCAACAGCGATAATGGAGACAGGTGCTTTAGTCAGAATCCGCAAGCTGAATGGAAACAAAGTTATTCACCCAAAAATATTGTTTGAATTTCTCAGACAGCTTCTTTAGCAAACTTCAGATACTAATCCTACGCATTAATTCAGAAGTGTTTTAATGCAAATGCTATTTCTGAAGCTCTCGGGTTTTTTCAGCCTGATATCTCAGACTGTTGATGTCACTAGATGGAGGCTGTCTATAGGTCACCATGATTGCCACCTACTTTGATTTTTCGGATCGTATCTATCTGCCTGAAAGAGCAGAAAACAAGGTATTTATTACTCATAAACTGTCTCATACAGGGTTAACACGGGTGACGTTTCTTTGGAGAGTCTCAATCCCACATATTCCCTGAACTGTTGTTAGCTGAGAGGCAGTTTCATATTTAGTCTGACCAGTGTTAATTAACAGTGTTGTGACTGGCAAATGGTCCGGGGTTAATACTGTCATCAAGTTTCTGGAAGAGAAGTCAAACTTGCACTGAAACTAATAGCAATGAGTAAGAATTATTATCAGTCCAAGCAAACCAACTGTCAGAATTACAATACAAATAAGCAATGTATTTACCGTAATCCAAAACATATTAATCTCGTATAGTCCGAGCAGTAGTCCGAGCTTGCTCAAAGCCTTATTCCTCAAGGACACAAATAAGCTGATGTATTTAATTTTGCTTGTGTTGCACTAAAGAGTTTACAAAAGGTTTGAAAAATTGGTGGTAATTAGTAATGCCTACTATACATTCCTGTTAATAGCAGCCAGCAGTACTCCCTAACCACAACGTTAATGTTATGAGTGAAATGCGTTCTGGGCCACCCCGATAGTTGAGTGGGTGGATTGTATATTTGGTGCTGTTCGGAAGCATACAGTATGGGAAGCTCCTAGGTTTGATCTACGCTCCATAATATGTCGGGGCAGCAGTGAGGCTTCTATCAATGGTTTAGTTTCCCCAAAATAGGAAAAAATGCTGATGTTTGTTGGAATATCCGTGTGTGAAGGTATCAAATAAAGGCAGGATCAGGCTAAGCTGTGAGGCTCTCTATTTGAGTGAAATTTAGGTCGGCCTCTGGTGATTTGTGAATATAATGGGAAAATCTCATTAATATCCGACATCATCGAAGACACCACATGTAATAGATTGGCCTTCAGTACCCTTTCACTGTCCAGACTCACCCATTTGGATCAGAAACCGCAGGATTGCCCATCGAACTCTACCACATTGCGAGTCACCACCTTCTGATGAGGAAGAGGAAGGAAAGAAAGTTGAAGGTAGAAAAGCAAAACAAATTAAATTAAGTTTCTTCATCATTTGGCCTTCAGGGTCTCAGCTCAAATTCAATGTTAGCCCTCATTCAGACTATCATCTTTTGATCAGAGATGTACACAAAAGGCACCTGTGAGATTAGATTGGCTCATGGGGAGAAAAACAGCAATGAAGATTGTTGAGCCAACTGGCCTGTTTCTGTATTGTAACATTATTTGATCATACAGCTCTCTAGTAAGTCTCTGAAACCCTACCCCACCTGAAGGGTGCTATATAATTGGAGGTTGTTGTTGTTGTATTATATTGGAAACAAAGACTGGTTCTTAGGGTTTATAAGGCAAGATCAATCTATTTCATTTTCACTCCTGTTCTCTTCACCTTTGGTAATATTCAGTCATGGTCCTTCACGCAGTTTTCTCAATTTTAAAAAAGGAGTCATTTTAGATGACAGATAAAATTACATGCAAATGATCCAATGCTCTTTCTTCTCTTGTAGATCGGCCTCAAGTTTTCGACTGAAGCGAAGAATAAATATGTGCGAGCTGTGGACGGCCTTGTGCACAGAGGAGATCAGCGAAGTCTGTGTTGACCAAGAGAGATCAATCGTGATCGGTTGGCCCATCATCAACTGTGTCGTCACTTTCAAGTAGGTTGCTTTGTGTGTGAGAAATAGTCTTCAAGAATTGAATTCTCTCTAACACACACATTTTAAATCAATGGGGGTCAATTTTACTGAACTTCCTCAGTTCTGCGGTTGACTTACGAGGCAGCCATTATCCATAACTGTCACGGTTGGTTAATTCTCCCTTCTTGTGTGGTCAGTGTGGCCTTCTGGGTTTTGTTTATTGAGACCCTTCATAATCTCATAATACACTGTGTGTTTTTTCTTTGATGCATAATGAAACTGAATGCAGTTCTGCAACGGATTGCAGAAATTTCCTCAATTCCCTGAATGGTTGACTTAAACGCATTGTACATTTTCCAGGAAGTTAATGATCAGGAACAGGAACTTACACTAACCTTTTTCTCTCCTAACCGAGGAACATTGAAGCTAATTGTAGTTTCCTTCAGCCACCAGTTCTTTGTACACTTCAATGATTTATTTTTTAATACTGTTACTATTTTGATGCATGTTGCTCAGGATCAATAGACACCACAGTCTATATGAACTAAAGTTGGGCTTTCTCAATAAATTGATACATTTGTCCCTTTTGATTGTAGTTCAGCAATATTTTCTGCCAACAGTCATGAAATGAATGATCAATTTTATCTGGGATATTTTTGGTCAGGACACTGGAAGAATCTCCCTTCTCTTTTCAAATCATGCCTTGGGATTTTTAACGTCCACCTGAACAGGCAGACAGGACCTTGGTTTAATGTCACATCTATAGGATAGCACCTCAAAGAATGCAGCACTCCCCCAACACTGCATTGGAGTGTCAGCCTAGACTGTTTGAGTTCAAAGTCCCGATGTGGGACTTGAACCCACAAATTTCTGACTCATAGGGCCTGAAATTCTATGAAAATTAAGTAAATCTAGGACAAAGTGGAATTTCTACCATTGTAACTATTTAAATGCAGAGATTAGAAATACACGAGGGAGAAGGGAATGTAAGAGTATGGGAGGGAGTAAGCAGTGGGTGGAAACTCATGTGTAGTGTAAACACTGACACACACTATTTGGACCTAATGGCCCATTTCCATGTTATACATCCTATGTAAATTACTTTAAAGATTGGCATTGTGAAGGTCACTACATGGCCAGCTCTGACCAAAGGTCAGCTTTCTTACGAGGAGCGTGCTTGCTTGTCTGTAATGTGTTTTTGGACGCAAATGCAGACACGCACCTCTCAAGTACGGCCATGCTTAAAAAGTTAGCTGTACATATTTATTTTGGCAAGCGCAATGAGTGCATCAGAATTGGGAAATTATTCTTAAACTGAAAAATACGGTTATAGGAACTGCATGGATTAAGAATCGAAACTAGGGACAGGATTGAGCAAAGAGGATGTGTTGTAACAACTAAAACCTCTTTGTGTTATGCACATTGTAGATAAACAGTAATGTGGAAATTTTGAGATGTAAAATCACCTTCAGTGCTGAAACGTCCAGGGGAATCTTTCAATGGAGATGTGAAACTTGTGATTCATAACACATATATTGGCTGTATTACTTCCCCAAAATCAGCTGATGATTGTTTCTCATTATATTTCGAATCCAATTTCTACACCATAGATGTCTACTATCAAGCATTGTCTGCATTGGATAAACCATTTTGAGGCGGAAAAATGTGATACAATTACCAGCTATCTTTTTAATCTTTATACAAATGTCTGAAATCCCCATTGAGATTACCTCTTTGTTATTCATTCCAGAGAAGTGTTGTTCTACATACAAACTACCTAAAGCCATTAATAAGATTATAATATTGTAATCACTATTGTATTAGTGATCTATCAGGCTCTATCACTCCCAGCCATTTATTAGTCTTCGTATGAACTGTCAAAACCCATTATGATTATTGGCCTATATCACTGCGAAGTATCTTTTATTCTCTTTATTATCTATCTGAACTACTCAATGATATTATGGCCTTGGAAACACCCCTCCATTATTTTGCATGCAAACTAGCTTAACTCGTGGAGTCCTGTAGCTTAGTGGTTAGAACACTTGCCTCCCAAGCAAGGGGATCTGGATTCAATTCCCGAGAAGGGCAAAACCTTAGATAAGTTTCCTTACTCCACACGCAGTAAGTGTACCTAGCAGTAAGTAGGAAGCCGGTTGTTAGTTAATTGGCGGATCCCTTTTCCAGGGATAATAATCCCTTCAAAAAAAATTATAATAATTTGGTCATTCAATTCACGACTGTTTGTGGGACACTGCTGTGCACAATCGGTTACTGTGTTTCACCAACAAAATATACAGTCAATTCACTTTACAGTATATTCTGTGAAGTGCTTTGAGACGTCTCAAAGACGTGATAAGGCGCTTGTAATGGATCCCCCTGTATAATTCTTACATCTTTTCAAATACCTTAATCAAATCACCTGTTAACCTCCTCTATGTTAAGAACTATAACCTAAATCTACCAAGCCTCTCTTACAGCTAAGGCCCTTCTGTCCAGATGTTAATCTAGTGAACCGTTGCTGGTCTCCCAAGGCTAACATATCTCTTCTTGTAAAGTACGCCTGTGCCTATAGACTTTTTCCTAATGACTTTTGCAGCACACAAGTCCACATGACATTTTTTGCAACGTACCAGTTCCTGTTAATATACATACTGTAGACAAACAACATTAAGGAATCTCTAAATAGTATCCCCCAAGGGTTATTCAAAATTATAGGAAGTGATCTTGGCAGAGTCTACCTACTTGTCTGTTTGAATTCATATACATGTCTGCTAACATTAAATTGTGCGTCAGCAAGTACTTCTTAGAGATTGAAGAATCAGCCACAGTTACTATTCCTCATCACTTCTTATTGATTGATTCTGCACTTGGGGATATGGGTTTGAAGACAATATCAGGCTCAGCATTGATTCCTGCTGAAGCACCCCTTTGTGTGAGATACAAGAAGTGTGTCTCTTCCAAGAAACCATGGTGTGAAATCAATGGTGTTTCATAACGTGTTTGATGTGATCCTTCCCTCCCTCCCTCCCTCCCTCCCTCCCAGCCTTCAGCACAGTGGTAGAGCCTGAGAAAAACCCTGGTACTGAAAGTTGCCCTGATCATGGAGATAAGCATTTGAATGCAGTTAGAGGAGAGTGTAGATGTTGAACGAGGATGGGGTCAGGTTCATCTCTGATGTCTCTATGGGTGAATTACTCTGTCTACTGGCAAGGCACATGCATGAGCGTTTCTTGGGTGAGATAACTGAAGCACATTTCAGCACCAGTGGAACCACACTCCAGCAGTAGATGGAAAAAGTATATTGACGGCCTCCAGGAGAGGGGGGAGAAAATTGGCAGGGAAAGAGACTTCAAAAACTTAAAATGAATAAGGCTCCAGCTCAAAGGAGGTCGCAAGTAAATATGGAACTATTTGTTGGCAAAGACATTCCAATGCAAAAAATCTCTTCATTACTTTATTATATTTCAGTCATGGAAAATAAACATAAAAACAAGTCTGTTATAAAATTTATGTTTAAATTGGGAAGAGCTAACTACTCTGCCTGGGTTATAATTTTCTCTCAACTCGGGCAGTTTTTGTCAAGCTTATTTAAAACAACGGTACTTTATGTGGAAAGTATTTTCTTGAGGAAAACAATCTGAATGTTTAGTTCTCGCAGTTCATTTGTTTGTTGATGTTACAGTTTGATGTCTCTCTGTGATTTATATAGCCTCCCTTGTTGCTAGCTGATGTTATGGTAGCCTTGTGATGCAGTCAGTTCAGTGACTAGGAAGCTGTCATGATTAGCTGAGGAGACACTACACAACATAAGTCATCAATTCATAACTGCCCCAAGACCCCAACTGCTCACCCATGTTTCCATGATAAACTCACACATATCAAATTTTACAATGGTGATATCCTTGTTAACAGCGAAACTCGCATTACAGTAAAGTGACTAACAATCCTAATGTAGCTGGAGGCATTACCAAGGCCTCTGATACAGTAAAATTCCCTTTAAAATAATGTAATGTTGCCCCACTTCCTACACAGTTACCTGCAAGCTTATGTCTTGACAATTATGAATTGTGAAAATTCTTCCATTTAATCTTATTTAGGATCCTTTTTTATTTGCAAAAAAAAACCCTGGCTCCCATATAATAACTAAATTTTTGAAATTTCCTCCATTCTGTTTCATTTTAAATTTTAAGGCAACATACTCTTACAGGCTAAGACTAGGTGGAACTTCGGACCGGTCTGATGTGTATTGAAAGTGACTCTGATCGCCTTTTTTCTTAAGAGTCTTCTCTTAATAAATGCTATAAATATCATTTTAATCCTCCGCAAGAAATTATGAACGGTCTCGAAAGCTTTAATTTCATTTCAATTCATTTGATGTCAGTTACGATACAAACACTTGTTGGTTGTTTTCTACAATTACAACTTTCACTAACAAAGTATTTTTAGTCTCTTGCTGTAGTTCCCCTACTGTTCCACTGCTTACCTGTTTACACCTTACTTTCTTAACACGTCATTAAGAGCATAGCCCACTGAATACCGTGCCGTTACTTCACACTTTTTCCAAGCATCACGTGTAGATATTAACAGCAGTAACTTTCTTAATATGGAAGGAGGAAGCTTGAGCAAAGAAACTAGTGACAAAATGCCGTGATGCAATTTCCTGTCTCCACTACTCTGAGAATTTCCAACCACCCACGGCCTTTATATAGTGCGGGTGGTACAGATGTCCTGTTTAGACTCTCTCTGTTAGCCTGATGGACTGTTAACTGGATGTCATGGTGATTTTCTACCTACAGTTCACCTGATGTAAAGGACCACTGGCAAGATACTCTCCTTAGGTAAGTGTTACAATTATATTAGTGCTTTCTTGCCATGTGCTTAATCCACTGGTGATATAGAACAGCAAGTAATGAAAAACCTACAAGGTTCTACACATGTTACAGTTGATGCTAAAGGATTTGCCATCATTTGGTTTAACGAATAGCTCCAATGCAAGTTTAAATGTTTGCACCTGTTATGATCCTGAGAGTTTCCGTGCAACCTGAAAGTCAAGAAAAACGTTCATAAAAAAAGTTACTGATTTCAATGTGGGGGTGTTCACATTAGTGCTGTAGAGTTGGAGGGTAATATGTACAGTAGCAGTATCAACCAAATGCAAGAAACAGTGTGACTGCATAAATGTCACGCTCAGCTCTAAAGCACACTGAGGTACCAATTTGGGAATGCTTTTAATGACAATGGTTTATTTCTCTTTAGGAAAATTAAATCAGCAAAAGACACAGAGGAGCCTAAAGTCACAGAACTCACAATACTAATGAAGGTCTTAAGCAACTCTGTTCTGGTGAGTTTAAAGTCTTTCTGTCTTGGTAGGTTTATATGGTTTAGCAGATTACCTTATTAAAGCTTATCTACTGAATTAATAATAATAATAATCCTTGCATTTGATATAGCGCTTTTCACGTCGGGAGGACGTCCCAAAGCGCTTCACAGAACACACTGTAAAGTGAATTGACTGTATATTTGTGGGCGAACGCGGCAGCCAATTGCGCACAGCAATGTCCCACAAACAGTCGTGGATTGAAAATGACCAATTTATTATTGTTTTTTGGTTTTGGAGGGATTATTATTAGGCTCTGTGTGGAGTAAGGAAACTTGCCCAAGGTTTCACCCTGCCTGGAATTGAACTCAGGTCTCTAGCTTGCAAAGCGAGTGCTCAACCACTGAGCTACAGGACTCCACGAATTACTAGGCTCCAAGTATACAGAAAGTTGACTACGGCAAAGAAAATCGAGTCAATAAACAGCCTAAACAATGAGGTCTATTAACAGTGAAAGAGCACGCCTTCAATGTACAGAAGGCTTCACTGAATCACTGGGTAACACAATGCAAAATTCGTTTTTATTTTGCAGGTATTGGGAAGCAATAATGTTGATCCCTCTATTTTTAGAAGAGAAGTTGCTTTCTTTACTGTTGGACACTTTTGTGTGTGCCTAGTGTCTGTGATGAAGAGAAAGATTAGCCTCTCAAGAGGAGCCGAAATGACGGCCACCAAAGTTATAAATTATTGAACTGAATGTGTAAAACTGCTGTAAGCACTTTCCATTACTGTGTGAGAGACTGTCTGTGTGTGTGGTGGGGGGGGGGCATCAGAACTGATTGTAAGGAACCAACAGAGCAGTTTCTGATATGTTGATAGCGTTCACTTGCTTTAGGTAAGTGTAGTACAGTCAGACCACACGTAAGCTGTCAATCAGGGGTTGAACTGTAGAATGAGACATAAATCAGTGATGAATGCAGGGTGTAGGTAGGTCTATGGAGAAACATGCTGCAGTCTGCTATAACCAGGTTTAGATGTTCATTGTCAGCATTGAGATACTAAAGTGGTGTGTTTTTGTGTTTAACAGCTTAAAACACTAACTGTAAGCAACATCGAACCTGCCAGTGAGGTGGTGAGGAGAGCTCTGGAATCAGCTGAAATGGTGAGTAACATTACACCATAGAACATTGCTGGCTAACTCAGTCTGAGTGAGTCTGTAAACTGAATATTTTTGAGTGTGATTTTAATCACATTTCTGAACAAATCTACCACAGGCAAGTTAGTAAACAACAAGAGTAATGTTCAATACAACTTTACAACATTTTGCAACAATTGTGGGTTGATATTGGCTTGTGCGATTAGATTTTGTTCGATTGAGATGAATGACATGTTATGTATATGAAGGATTTTAAGGTATCATTTATTTTGGATTATATTTGAGAAATGTCTGTTGAAGAGATATCCATCTCTTCAGTCCAGGGTTCAGTGGTAACAAACACTAGGTTCACCCTTTTACAGTGGCATAATAATAATCCTAGCCTTTGATATAGCCCATTTCATGTCGGGAAGATGTCTCAAAGAGGTTCACAGAATTTACTGTATAGTGATTGAGTATTTTAGCTAACACAAATGTGCATTGCCTCACTGTAACTTTTTTTAAAATCGATTTAGGGAGATGCCCAGGATTATAAGTTATTATTTTCAAACGGTGAGGATACGCCATCTTCTCTAATCGGTAAGTTTAGAAAAAAAAGAAGTCTCCCTCCATCTTGAGGTTTTACCATTGCGGTTTTGTGCAGAACTATCAAACCACTGCAGCATTTACACTGTTTGTTCACAAAGCAGTGGGTCCAGTAATGCCTTAAGCATTGTCTTAATTCTTCATAATATTATTATATGTATCATCAGTCATCAGTTTTAAAGGTGCTCGTGACTGAAATAGCAGAACGTTATGTAGATTGCTCCTTTGACTGTTCGCAAAATACAGAAGAGGAAGAGGGGAAGTACAAAAGGGAAGCTGTTTCTTTAGTTGCGGCAAGTCTTCCAATTGCTTTGTATTGTCTACAGGTCACGAGTATCCCTTTGCCATTAAAATGAGCCAGCGGCAGAAGTCGAGTGAAAAGCAGGGAAAGGCAGAGGTGCCAGCGTTTGACCTGGAGAGAAAACCTTCAAAGGTGTCTCAAATACCCCAGTGCCAGTTTCAACTGAAATACTGTCCAGGTATGTCAGTAGAATTCCTTCAGTCAATTCGAATAATAATTGAGAATTTCTGTCATTGCAAGCGTACAGCAGAAAAGTATTTTAATTCTCACAGAATATACAGCACAATCTCCATTCTGAACATGACCAGCGCAATTCTAAGCAGCTGTACATTATCCTTGTTTACAAACAACAATTAATTGTTGTAAAATTCACCACACTCCTTTACTAAGAAATTGTCGTTCAATTAAGTAACTTATTTTATATATTCAGTTTGATATGAAATGTAGATAGATTTTATTCTTTGCTTCAGATGGCTAAAGCTGAAAGATAAGGAACGGTGCCTCCCCTTTATCAGTTCTTCCCTGTTGAAACATCGCACAATCTAAGCAATAGCTCTTCTTTGTCCCTACAGTTGACTCGCACGGCAATTCGAAGCACTGCAAGAAAAACAGAACAAAGATGGCTTGGCCTTTCCGCAGAAACTCAACTCAGACAGAGTCTGTCTCCTCTCAGGAAGAATGCCTTTTTAATCGACATCTTCAGGATATCTCCGAGGGTGATGGCACACTTCCTAAACCAATCCTTGTAAGTAGATAATTACAGCTCCTTACTCTAATGGAAACAGTTTGAGCTAACTTGACAGCAAAGAATAACAATCAAATGAAACTGAAGTGTACACAAAGTGGAGTTATTCACTTAGCATTTCAACATACATAAAGCATGCTGCAGTCCAACAATCAAAGCAAAGTGGTAGCTTTTAGCTAGGCTAATGTGCAATATTTAACTGTAGATACAAAATTCAGGCACCTTGTGTTCTGGTGGTAAAGTGCTCTTTACTGTCAAAACGTTCAGAACAGAAGGACACAGTTCAGTTTCTCGTGTCTGTACAACAACTGTAAAGAAAAGTCAGTAGAAGTGTTTGGATTTTTGTCCGGTGCAATTTATTCCATTTTGTTTCGATTGTAATTTGTACACTTTCGGTCTGCACCGCAACCAACAACCCTTTGCCTGTACACTATATTGGTATTCATGGAGGTACTTTTTGTTCTTTTAAGTGCTTTATACGAGACATATTGAAATCTTAGTTTCCTTCTCAAGCGCTATTTTTTAGCATTGAACCCAAAAAGCAGCAATATATGTAATATATGATAATCATTCATTTACACTTTTTTTCACAAAATTAGTCACAAGCACCACAAGATCAGGGAGTGCTCACCGAAAATAATTGTTTCTCAGTTGACTGGTTTCTGATTAATTTAGTATTGGTGCTTTCTTTTTACTTTAGGATATGCTGACTGTCCTCTTCAAGAAAGGACCCTCATCCATAGGAATATTTAGAAAGTGTGCAAACATGAAGGCTTGCAAGGAGTTAACAGCAAAGCTAAACATGGGAAGAGAAGTCAATCTGGAGGAGGAGCCAGTGGTCCAGTTGACGGCAGTCTTCAAGGTAAATTAATTCAAACTCACTCTTCTAAGTAGAAGTTAATGGAATATTGCAACAGGTCAATACTTGGAGCTCAATCTGTGTGTTTTATATTGGATGACAGCATGGCTAATTCTCAATGTGCTGTTGCAGGACTTTCTACGACGTATTCCAAATTGTATCTTGAGAGCTGATCTGTATGACAGTTGGATGGCCGCAATGGAGAAGAAGGATGTCAATGAAAGAACAGAGGCGATCAAACAGTAAGTGTCATCCACTATAAGGAGTGAAACATTAGCCTCTTTGCCTACCTAGCGTACCGTTATTTATAGAGGTACTTTTTGCTGTTTGATGTGTCCTGCCTGAGTAATACTGAAATTTCGTTCTTTGACTTACATCACATATTATCACATTTTTAAAAAAAATGTATAACCAAATTAGGGACTAGTGGTCATTAAAAAGAGAACTGAATGGCAAACTTTGGTGAATGGAGCATAAATTAAGGACATGCTACATGCTCTACACTCAGCTCAATGTGATTCTTGATATTGTTCTGCTTAAAATTCATGCATAATCTCTAGGGAGTGGAACAGTTTGAAAGCAATTGGTTACATCTGGTCACAAGACAGTAAAAGTTGTTGCTGGGGATTTCTCAATGGAAATTTGCAGAAGTAGTTATTTGGGGGAAGTTGTCTTCAACTGTCAAAGCACCTGATTTGAAATAATGCTATTTTTTTGTTTCCAGGGTTCTTTCAAAACTTCCAAGCCACAACCTTGCGTTGCTTCGCTACTTCTTCTGTCTGCTCTATTACATCAACAAACACTCTGAGGTCAATAAGATGGATGCTTACAATCTTGCAATCTGCATCAGCCCCAACATGCTCTGGCCCAACAAAGATATAGCACTCGAAGCTCAGCAAGAGGTCTCTGCTAAGGTAAATATACTAGCTTCTGCCCTGGAACCTTCAATCAATCTGTCTGCAAAATAGGAAAGATTTTATTGAATTAATTCCGAAATGAATCCCGAATGGTGCACTTTCATTTCAAGTTTGCCAACAGAGGCCAGATGTCATGGTAAAATAATGGAGGTTCTAATTTGCGATATTTCTTGATAGGATTCTTAATAAGAAATACAGTTGTACAAAAGAGGTAGCAGGAAGTGGGTCACTCTGACCTGTGGGACCTCCACTCTGACATGATCTACTTCCAGTAGACATGAGATTCCTTATTTGGAATCACTGTAAAAGATAACACAAACAACTGATTCTGTTTGTTAAAAGATTTTGAAAAAACTGCGACCATATATAGACAACAGCCCGATAGAATACTATACCTTGGGAAAACTATAAACCTTTGAAAAAAGGACTTTTAAAGTGGTGATCAAGCAGAATGATTACATCATAATGTTTATATATATACATTTATATACAACTATATATATTAATAATAGACATGAAGAAACATTGATAATGACATTAAGTTAACTGCAAGCATTTACTGAAGAGCTTTTCAGACAGTTCAGTGATTGGATCTGATAATAGATTTCAGTGTGTTTGCCAATCTTAACCTGAACAAATGTATTTTCTTAACAGATTGTGACTCTAATGCAATTTTTGATCGAGAACTGCTGTCAAATATTTGGTAATATAACCATGCTCTTGGGTGAACCATGTCAAGTGGCATCAGACTACAATGATCACTCAGGTATGTAGCACGTGCGTTGTCTGTGTGACGCTCAAAAGATCATTTAATTTTTTGACACTTACTGGAGGCTATACTAGGCTGTCAATCTCATAAATTAGTCTGATCATATAAGCATATGAACATCACACATATAGGAGCATCACTTATCAATGTTACCTTACAAAAACAAACTCCTAACACAGCTCATTTGCTAAAGACACAATCAAATGTGTTTTTGTTTTCCACACAAAAACTAGAAGGTCTTAAATTCAATCCCCAATCTGTGTTGAATTAACGGATCTCAGATAAATCAGCAGATGGAGCTCTACAATTGTCGGCATCATAGGTTATCCAGTGGCCCTTGTTGAAAAATGCAAGTGTGTGTGTGTGTGTGCGTACGTGCATATATGGGGACATCAGGTGAAGCTAGTCTGGGCTTTTGTTTATTCAAACCCTTATCCCCCCTTCACACACACATACAATACTGCATAAGTTTCTGATACTTACTGTTCAGCCTTACACGTGAAAAATGACCACTTGGAGTGAAATAGTGAAGGGTGAATGATGCCCATGAGTTTGAACCCTAGCAAGCAAGAGCTCCTTCAGGAGAGGATAGAGGAAATTAGGGAGGAAAATAAAATGATAGTTGGTAACCAGAATACAAAATATTTCTTATTTTTTTCACTATAGATGTGTCATTGTCCCACCAAAATGACTCTGCCTATGACAGCACAGATCAAGAGGAATGGAGAGACACACAGAACGAAAAGAGAAGGCGAGCAAACAACAGCTGCAGTGAACTATCAGCCAGCGACCAGGCACGGGGAATGGAACATAATCAGATTTATCGCATGAGGAATGACCAGGAGACTGGAGGCTGCACAATGACTTTAAGTAGCACTGAATCCATAGATATGACCAACAGAGTGCTGCCACAAATGTCTCCAACTGTATGTCCCTCTGCAGTCATTATTGAACAGTATTCAGGGAGGATGAACAGACGATGCTCGGAGCCAATACTGCCCACAAACAATAGCTCCAAAAAGATCAGCCAGAAGGAATTGGCTGCAAGAAGTCATGATGACTGCTCCATCACTCCCCATGATCTGGACTTTCAGAATCCATCAATGAAAAAACAAACGTCTGAGGAAAGCTTTCCAAAATATCAGTTCAAGGGAAGGAAGTCGTTCATCTATAATGTCAGTTCACACTCAGAGCTGTCCACAGCCTCGTCCTCCAAGGCTTCCTCTGTCTCTTCATTAGCTAGTTCATGCTCAAACCTGTCTGAGAGTTCTGTCTTTGCCAATTCTCCACTTGTGTCCCCTACGTGCCCCAGACATGAGGAATCCTTCTCAGAACATCACATCAAACGCCTGACTAGTTTGACCCAAGAGCCTGATAGTAATGCAAAGTTCGCCATAGAGAAAACCAAAAAACCACTGAAGAAGACTCTAAGCTGCCCCACAAGGTCTTTTCAAGGCAACAGGGATTGCTGCAAGGAAATCTCGCTGAAGGAAAATCAATCCACCTGTGAGACTGTGCATGAGGATGCAGTGAATGAGAGTGGAAATTCAAAGTTTTCGTATCACTCATCCCCTGATGTTGTCTTTCAGCGGGTGGACAGTCAAAAACGGGGCTTTCCACCTTCTTATAATGAAGCTCTTATACATAATACCCCCCCTATTCTCGCAATGAAGGGAATGACAGTGAAGCACATGAGGAGTTGGTCGCAAAAGGAACAAAACATTGAAGAAGGTACACCATATTCATTAATCCAGAACAAACACAACATGCGTTGTAGATCTGTTTCTGGTCATAAAACTTGTTCATTAACAGATGACCCATTCAAAATATCCTGTCAAAATATCAAAAGCAGTTCAGACTGTTACAATACACAAACTGCAGAGAACCATGCAAACCACTTTACAATATGTGAGAAGCCACACCAATACAGAGGGAGAGCTCTGTCTGAATCCATAAGCAGAGACAAGAACTTCCAGTTAGGGGGATGCTTCAATCAGACCTTTAACCGTTATCCATATCCTAAGGAGTCATATGTGTAAACAATGTACAAACCCTGATGTTTGCCAGCACCTTTTCTCATGTTACATTCTGTGTTAATGTCCTATCAATAATTGTTTAAAAAGTTGTTGTTTTTAAACGTAATGTTCTGTTTCCAATTTTTGTTGTCCCTTTTGACCTCTTTGGTTGTATTAAGTGAACAAGCACCTTTAAGTACATAGAGTCTTTAACACTCGTTGTCTCTGATTTAATAGAGATTATATACCATAGAGCGGAAAATCTAGATGATGCAGATGTATATTTGTAGAAAACATTAAAAAATATTGATGTTTATCATAGTTAAAATGAACCCTGTATCACAGTGCAATGTAACATAGCGTGTTAAAATTTACAAAACATCAAGTGTGAATATTGTACATATAAGCTATCCAAAAGATTTCTGTGTGAAGTAATTTGCAATGAATAGTCACACAATTTCACTACAATAAATTTGATATTTACAGTGTATTCTGGTTCTTTATATTTCATTCGCAATTACTTGGGACAATATTTCTCTACATAGGTTTTAACAGCTGCAGAGTGAGTTGAGTTTAATCTCAATGTTATGATTTGTAAATCTGGAAATATGTAACAAGATAAGTGAAGTGAAATAACCTGATGCTATCAGTTCTTTCACACTATCAAGATCAACAAAGCCTTCAAGCCTGCACTCTGTGATATCAAAACTTCATTGCTTAACAATAATGATTTAGAAACTGTGCAAAAAATCATATATTCAATTTAATCATGATCTAATAATTTATGCCAGTTTTTTTAAACTTAAACAAGGGATCCTAACTGTGAGATTTTAAACCCGCAATTTCACTTTGTCTTAACCTCTCAGACCACTTTGCCTTAACATTTAAGATTTCACAGAATGTAGAAAATTCTTTAATTTGGAAGCTGTTTTTCTACAGTTTTTAAAAAGAAACAACTTTCAATTTACGATTGGATTTAAGTGCAAGATTACTTCCGGACTCAGTGTGTTAGGAAGCTCACAAGGGACAGTTCCTTCTTGTCTTCATTCTAGTCACTGATCCAGACACTATTCAGAGAGTAGAAGTAGTTGATTCATTAGGTGACTAGTTACCAAACTCAATAACAATCAATTTGACTTGTCAAACAAACAAACAAATTGCAAGGGATAAATGACCATAGACGCAGCCAAAGTGGAAAGACTTGAGACGGACCTTGAAGGAGCCAAGAGAAGGGGCAAAGCAAAGGGATTCCGGGATGGAGTTCCAGAGGGTGGGAGCAGAAATGCTGGAGGCCCATCAATGGTGAGTCGGGCTGGGAGGGGGACATGAAGCAGGTTAGTGCCTGCTGAGCAGAGGGAGCGGACAGGTTGGTAAGGTTTTAGCAGGTTGCAGAAGTAGGTTGGGGCAAGACAATGGACAGCTTCAAAAGTGAATTCGATCCTGTTGGGGATGGGGAGCCAGTGGAGCCGGGTAAGGATGGGGGTTAGGGTTAGGTACAGGAGAGGATACGAGCTGCAGAGTTCTGAATAATTTGCAGCCTGTTGGCATAGTCAAGCCGGGACGTGATAAAAGCGTGGATAGGGTCTCAGCGGTGGAGGCGGGCAATGTTGCAGTGGTGGAGAAAACTGAACGGGTCAAGGCATGAATATGGAGTTTAAAGGACAGTTGATAGTCAAACAAAACACCATGTTCCTTACTTTAATTCTTTTTTCAACTGTGGCAGGGGATCTTTAACGGCCATCTGAACAGGCTGGTGGGACCTTGGTTTAAAGTCTCATCCAAACAGACTTCAGCTCCAATCTAATCTCCTCAGAGTGTAATTTACAAGAGGTTCCTCATAGTTTGCATTGAGAAGAAATCACAGTTTGCATTGAGCAGTGCCTTTTCCAGCACTCAGACACCAGTAATGTTAACACTTTTATGAGGAGCAAGCCCTCTACAGTCTTTCTCCCCCCTACCTCTCCAATCTACTAATCCCCTACCACCCTGTTTGCTCCCTCCGCTCAGCAAGCTCTGGCCTGCTTCACGTTCCCCACTTCACTCGTCCCACTATTGGTGGGCGGGCCTTCTGCCACTCTGCCCCCACCCTCTGGAACTCCATTCCGCAGTTCCTCCACCTCGCCCCCTCCCTCGCCACCTTCAAGACCCACCTCACGACCCTCCTCTTCAACCGTGCTTTCGATCACCCTGCCCTCCACCCACCCCCACCCCAACCCCCAGCTCGGGTCTGTAAATCAGTCTGTGCAGCGCCTTGGGACACCCTCCCGACGTGAAAGGCACTTTACAAATGTAATTTTGTTGTTGATTTTCATTAATTCTCTTTAGTAACATAAGATCAAATATATTTACTGACAATTCACTCTTGCAAACAAGAAAGGATAGCAAAATAATCAGCCAATCGTATTGTTGTTGTTCTTGCACAAAACCTCCCCCATTACGGACCCCACCCTGACCACAACACAGGAAAGTTCTGCACAGAACACCCTCCATGTAGCAAAGTCTTCAACCTATCAGGGCATTTCTTAACATATAAAGCAGTGAGGAAAATCCCCACCAGTGCCTAGGAATTCCCCAGCAGTAATTTCAAAATTCCCCTCCAGTAAATTGCCCTTCCATAATAATATTAAAGGTAATGGTGATTTTCGCGGCAGTCACCAAGTGGTCACCGTTTAGGCAGTGACTTTGTTGTATTTGTAACAGTCCTCATCAACTACATGTAGCTTTTCTTCATCTATAGAAATTTGTTTTAAATGTTGCTGGATGTGGGATAAAAGTGACCCTTTGAGTTCAGTCCCCAACAGTGAAAATTCCTTAAAAAATGCCCTGCCACCTATTAATCAATTTACACACCAGCACAAATTAAACTTAGTCTCCACATCTCCACAGATAAGATTCTTCTCCTCTTGTTGCTGCAACACAGAAATCATTGTGTTCCATGGAGCATTTCCTCATTTCTTGGCTATTTCTGAAGTGTTTAGTCATATCCATTGTGTCTTGTTTGTGTCTGGTTTTCAAAATTTTTCATGTTTTGCTTAATATTTGCTCTTCTTTCTATTTTCACTTCTCTTGGAGTTTTAGTTCACATGACAAATTGACTTTGTTTTTATGAGCAAGGTCAGGTCCCCACTGTAAATCAAATTATACGAAACACGTTCCTCAAGGGAATGAGGGTTGTCCACAGAGACAACCTTTCTCCTTCCCCCCAAACTTTTCACCCCCAAAACTCTTCACTCCACCCCCAAAACTTTCTAGGCCTAAATCATCAAAGGACCATGCGGATCTGATATCTGTCTTCATGACCACCCAAGCAAGTCAAGTGATCAGTTGGCCTCTCTGGCCCAGGCAAGTCTGGCCTGAGCCCAGTGACAAAGTGCTCAACCTAGCTCTGTATTCCAATATCTCCACTTCCTCTTTGTGAGGGTGGATCAGACTCCTCAGATCGGAAGGACTGCAAGACCGATCCCAGCCAACAATGAGATTAGCCAAAGATGATCCTGTCCTTAATCACCATCCAAGAACTTTCCTGCAAATGTCTCTGGATAGCGATCAGGAACAGGAACCCTAATTGATTTGCTCCTTCCAACGCTAGGGGTACTGAGGCCAAATAGTACCACCAAAATTCTGTGTACATTATGGTTCCTTAACAAAGGTTCTCACCATTTTTGTTCAATAGAAAGAACACATTTGTGAAGAAAAGTACTCAAAGGAAATGAAATTTAGTTTCATTGCTTTGCTAGCAAAAGTACTGTAAACAGATGGATTAAATGTCTGCAATTTCTTTTCACAGTACATGCCATCCTTTTCGTTATATTTCATAAATTATTGGCATCTCACATTAACCTGTCATAAGAACAGGTTCATTTCTCAGAATATAAACTGATCTTCCAGTCCTTCTAAGCATAAAATAAACGGTCAATTCACTTTACAGCATATTCTGTGAAGCACTTTGAGACATCTAGAAGACGTGAAAAGCGCTATATCAACTGCAAGGATTATTATTATTATTAAAAACCTCTCCTTAAGTATTTCCTCTCGATCGTTCCTCTCAATATTATCTCTCCATTATTGCCTTGTTTTTAAAAATATGTAATGTTCCTTACGACAGATTAATGTGAGACACCAATAATTTATGAAAAATAACAATAAGGTTGCTGTATATTTATATAATTTTATTTCCTCTCAAAAGCTGTTTTTAAAACAATGAAAGAATTTTCATCAACAACTTTTATGAAAAGCTCTAAGCGTGATTAAAAAAAATTGGTTGTGATTGTGATAAAAGGTATATTTTAAACCTTTCATTACTCACTCACAGTTCTACCTTTGATATGTATGCCTTTATCCAATGCATAATCTAGAGACCTTTTGTAGCATTCTCCCTTGTAATGCATTGCATCCTCGATTTTATAGCTGTCTTTTTCATGTTTAATTGCCTAAATAACATCAAAGGCCTTGTGTCAGACTGGTGATTCCAGTGAAGGAATTAGTTGATGAATTTGTGCGCTTGACACATTGTCTTCTGATAAACTAAAGTATTTTTCCTTGCAAAACATGAAATACAGGATCATTTAAGTGGATGTGTCACTGTCAGCTCACTTATATCTCAGCTGAGCTCATTTGAGGTAGTCAAGGGCTATTGTTTTCCCTCACTGGAGGAAAACCATATCCCGGAAAGTGCTCCCTGGTTGCATTTTAGTTGTTTATTCAAACAATAAAATGGGTTGTGATGACTACCCAGGCAGTATTTGCCTCATTGTTTGTTGACTACACTCTGCTGCATATCAACCTGCCTGATCTGCCAGCACTGTTGCGGTTTTAATACATGGAAATGGCTGACAAGAGTATCAACCCTTTTCAGGCTTTAGGGTGCAAGTGTTGGTAACCCTCGTACAGTGCAAGTGGCAACATGGAAAATGAGAAAAACAAGAACAAACGTTTGCACATGTAAGTGTGGACTTGGCCTATCTTTAGTAGGACACTGTCACCAATGAATATTGATCTCTGGTCTCATCGCCTGGTAATCTGTTCTCGTAATAAAAATCTAAATTTGAATTACTGCCTTTCACAAATAAGGTGTCAGACAACCTCAGTTGGTAGAACTCATGCCTCTGAGTCATAAGGTTATGAGTTCGAGCTGTACATTAGAACTTTGAGCGCACAGGTACTAACACTCCAGCGCAATTCCTGGAGAGTGCTGGATTGTCGGAGGTGTCATCCTTCTGATGAGATGTTAAACCCACGTCTTGTCTACCTGTTAGGGTGGATGTAAAGAGCCCATGGCACTATTCAAAAATGAGAAGAGTTTTCCAGACGTCCTAGCCAACAATCCTCCAGATAAAATTGGTCATTCACTTTGTGACAAATTGTGAGACTTTGCTTTGTGAAAATTGGCTGCTGCTTCTGTCTTACAAAATACGCAGTCACTACATTGCAGTACATCCTAAAACATCCTCCTGACATGAAAGGCAGTATATCAAATGCAAGAATTATT